ATCAGTAATACTTCGTTCAGTTACGTATTGCTGAATTATAGTAAGCATAGAAAAAATTTTCAACAAATAATCTAACTAAAACCGATCTAAAATAGTAACCTACACTAGCACAACAGCAAATCTAACCAAAACCTAACCTAGTATAACCTGAACATAACTCTAACCCACTAATATAGCCTAAATTTAATCTACCCCAATCTAATATATCTCACCTAAACCTAACTAACTAACCTAAGCCCACACAGCAAGCAAAAATAATAAAATAAAAAAAAAAAAATAAATCTCATTACTCATCGTCCAATTCTTCCACACAAAGTCTTTTATAAAAATTCTTCATAAACAAAACCCAAAACAATGAAAACAAAATTAATTCATCCGCGTTGCAAATTAAATCCTATTTTTCTTTATACCAATTTAATTATCCTGTCACAACACACACACACACACACACACACACACCACACACACCACACACACACACCATATTTTGACATGAAACTTGATCATCATCGATTCACAACTCAAAATAAAATTCGTTATTAATTTCATCTATAAAAAAGGGTCACCTGGAGTTTTTTTAATTTGAAACATAATAAAATAGATTTTGTACATAGTGACCGGGGATAATGCGTTTCACAGCACCGTAAGTTAATTTTTACATGTATAAACAGTATAAATATAATATATTTTAGGGAGGCTATTTTAACTGATGTTCAAGTGAAGAGGTAATTGTGTATAGTTTTACCATTACTCTACTAGAATTGCTATTACGGCTATTGTTATGACTACTTAGCTATTAGTGTTGTTATTACTACTTCTACGACTGTTATTATTGTTTTAGCCACTACTGTTATATTATTCCTGGTACTTCTGCTATTGATAATGCTTATATGTGCTATTCACTGCTACTATTTACGATAATAATAATATTAATAACAATTTAATAATAATAATAATAATAATAATAATAATAATACGAAAAAAAAAAAAAAAAAAAAAAAAAAAAAAAAAAAATAATAATAATAATAATAATAATAATACTACCATCAACAACAGCAACAATAATAACAACAACAAAAACAACAACAAAGACCCTGGATATCTGATATACCTCATAACATATCACAACAAACTAACAAACAGTTAAATTAAAATTCATTCATAACGTTAAAAAAAACTGTACAGTACAATTATTTTCAGAGTTCATCATACCAAAGCTGACCCAACACAGCCTCATTATTACCCAGCCCCTTCACACCATGACCAAGATTAAAAAAAATTACCAATATCTCGTCGTAGAAATTCACGTTAAGTATATATCAAGTCAGTTAATGTCTAAAACCTTATTTCATTTCATTGTTTTTTCTCTCCTGCGTCTGTTGTTAGTAGTATTGTCGTAAGCACAGATGACGTCATAGGGTGAACGACCTTATCCCCGGAACAGGTCGTTAAGTATAAGCTCACCCTCAAATCACAAGTCAGATAATTGCTCGCTGCCAACATTCATTTAGGCATTAATGTTAAGCTCGTGTCGTCCTGCCCAACGGAATTGTCTGGAGGGTCATAAAGGTGATATTGGCTGGCGATGTGCTGACAGTATGAGCGCCAGGACGAGCAATCAAGAGCGCCTGGCGTTGTTCGTACCGCACAGTAAGTCGTGGTGTGATGCTCTAGGTGTAGAACATAGCCGCCAGTACGAGCGATGACGAGCGCCTGGCAGTGTCTCCGCCGGCCCATAATGACTCGTTAATGGAGATGTTCTACTGCCACCACTCATGGACACCTGCCGGCCACCACCCACAACAATCACCATCACCACCGCCGCCATCACCACCGCCATCACCACCGCCGCCGCCGCCACCACCACCATCACCACCACCGCCATCACCACCGCCGCCATCACCCGCCGCCATCACCACCGCCGCCATCACCACCGCCGCCGTCGCCACCACCACCATCCACTCACAATAATGCACCAGGTATAATTTCGCCCAGGTAGCCGCCGCTCTATAGCTTGGCGGCAGATATTGAAAATAATTCCCAACTCGACCTAACACTGACGCCTCAACCTGAATCGACAGTGGACGAGGAAGTGTCAGTGTGTGTGTGTGTGTGTGTGTGTGTGTGTGTGTTATTTTCTCTTTCTTCTTCTGTCCAACCCTCTCCTTTTCCTCTTCCTCACTTTCTTTCTTTCTTCCCTACCTCTCTCCTCCCTACTCTCTTTCTCTCCTTCAATAACAGTGTTGAAAAGAGTGGTGGCACAGCCTGGCACTGCAAGGCCCTCTGGGTCAGGTGCCATGCCCAAGGGTATGACCTTCTGTCACAACTTCTTCTTCCTCTTCTTCTTCTTCTTCTTCTTCTCTCATCGTCATCCTCTTAGTCTTCTTCTTCATCTTTCCTTTTCTTCTTCTTCCTCTCTTTCTCCTCGCTGTCTTTCATCTTTATTCTCTTATATTCCTTCTTTCCTAATGTTCTTGTTTTATCCTATTCATACTATTCTTATCAATATCCTCTTTTCTCTTCCTCCGACTGCTCCTTCCTCCTCTACCCCCTCCCCCTCCCTCTTCCTCATCCTTTTGTGATTATTCCCATGTAGACAGGGCAGACCAAGAGAGAGAAGAGAAAAAAAAAGCTGTGTCACAAGTCAGAATCTGTCTTCTCCCTACACCCTTAAACCCCCTTAACACACCCTAACAACCCGCCGCACATAAAAGGGAGTTTCTATTAACGCAGGAGAGTTGTTAAGACATCGAACTCCAACCCCCCTTCCTGGTGGCTGTCTTGATCTGCGAGAGTAGTAACGACCTCCTGGAAGCCTCAAAGGGTAGTAAGTTAAAATTGATGTCGTAGTGGTGATGTCACAACGAGGCAATTTAAGCAACGGAAAGAAGGAAAAACAGTGACGGGTTTTATTGATACCTGACCTGACCTGACCTGACCTGACCAAAATAAACCAAACCCCAACCCACAACCCAACCCAACCCTAACCCAACCATTCTAACCTCAACCATATCTAACCTAACCTAACCATATCTAACCCTAACCTAAATAACACCAATTAACCTCCAAATAAAATAATCAAAATAATTACAGAAATTAACTAGAGACTTTTAACCATAAATACCTTACGTTGTTACCTTCAATATTATAACTACTAACATAACAACCAATTAAACTACCTAACCTAACCTAACCAACAACACCTGAAAAAATATATATATACACATCAACTTTCATAAAATGGCGTCGAAATACAAAAGACTCTACGTTGATCAATTACGTTCTCTTAGTCGTACGTATTGACGGAGGAAAATGTCTCAGGAAGGTTTGAGAATCGTAGGGAACTGGTACCGTCATCACCTCGACCAATAGATGTGGCTAAGATAACGCTATGGGGCTAACCTCCTACATGGTCGGCCTGGGGTGGGGTGGGGGTGGGGTGGGAGTAGGAGGTGGGAGTGGAGTGGGGGTGGGTGGGGTGGGGGTGGGATGGGAGTGGGGTGGGGTAGGGGTGGGAGTGGGTTGAGGTGAAGTAGGGTGGGGTGAGTGGTGGGTGAGGTGGGGGTAGGATGGGTGGGTTGGGGTGGGGTGGGGAGTGTGGGAGGTGGGTGGGGTGGGATGGGGTGGGGTGGGAGTTGGGGTGGGGGGTGGGGATGGGGTGGGGGTGGGGTGGGGTGGGAGTAGGGTGGGGTGGGGGTGGGGTAGGGTGGGGGTGGGAGTGGGGTGGGGTGGGGTGGGAGTGGGAGGTGGGGTGGGAGTGGGATGGGGTGGGGTGGGGTGTGG